GGAAAAAAAAAATTGTATAATATAAAAATAAAACACCAATAACTTGGTTATTTGAATTTTTCACCTAAATTTTGAGTTCATGTGAAAAAAGTGAATGAGCCCTTTAATTTTTTTCCATAGGCCTTGTAGTTTTGCCGGAAATCGAGATAAACCGTGTTTACCCTTAAAAACTCACACCCCCCACTTCCCGAACTCAGGTCACCCGTAATTTATTTTTCCTTTAATTCTTATCATATTCCCCTAGTTTTCCAATGAGTTTTATCCTACTGTTATTTATTTTGGTTACAAAAAGTTTACTTTTATAAGAGCTTTATTTAGTTCCGGAAAAGTATTATGAAAAATTTCGAGACAAAACCGATGGTTGACAGACAATTGGCTCGTGGACAATTTTGGCAATGGTACATGATAAACGTGTAAGTGCCACTGACATTTTAAAGGACTGTTCATTTCGCCATTGAAGACGCATAAGCTGCACTCGAAGTAATCTTTGCTACATAATGTTGGTGCATTATAAAACCCAAAGAATATCAAATATCTACGTTTTATATTTTTTATCAGATAATTATGTGGAAAATCGGTCCAGCCGTTACAGAGATTAGCCGGAACAAATAGACTGACAGAGAGACAAAAATTTTAAAAAAATTTACATATGTACATACATCCCCATGTTTTTAGTAAACAGCGGTTATTCTAATATTACAAACAGACACTCCAATTTTATTTATCTGTATTGATACTTCGAAGTGTAGAAGAAAATGTTTATATTTTATATACTAAATTTACCTTTATTAAAAATAATTTTAGATTTTTTTAATTTTAACTTTACTTGTAATTTAAACTTGTAATTATAAGTCAAAGGTCTGAAATAAAGTTGTTATTTTTATTATAACTGTACTCGCCTGATGTGATATTGCACTTATGGTTGTAAATCCATTTATTTCAGTTTTTTTTATTATACTCTTGTCACGTTTCGGAAGAGTCATTAGTCGAAAGGAAACTTTAACTATATGCTACACGTTGAATTTTTTTTCATTTAGTTATATTTCTGGGTCCTTTGTTGAAATAAAATTGATTACAATGATAATAAAGTTTTAGTTATAAATCATTATTAATTAATATTGTAGGAAGCGACCATGTGACAGCCTTCGTATTTATCATGATGTAATAAATAAAGCACGCATTATCCAAATATGTTCAACTGATCGACACCGAACTTCATCGGATCACTCGCTGGACTAATCTGAAGATTACCCGAAAATTTCATCAAAAACAATCTAGCCGTTTTTGGGTCAGTAAGGAACATTCATATATTACATTATCATCATCGAAATTTCAGTATGTTCGAGTGCACTGCCAGACAAAAGCCACCGCCACAGACCGGCAGGAAGAACGATGAGACACCTGTATCCATCGATTTTCCGCACATTTACATAGGTTATATATAATATACATATAAACAAGGTATTTTTCTTATCATCCATTGACTAGTATTTAACAATCCCGTCTATCATTTAAACTCAGTTGAAGTTGTTACTAAACAACCGTGATAGCTCAGTGTCCATGCGCACGCTTTCAATTCAGTATACTCGAGCAACTCGAGGTCGAATCTAGCTAGCCATAAGCTGCAATTAAATTAAATGCCGTTTTAAAACGTATTTATCGCAGAAGAAATCATCGTGACGACATCTGTATACTAACTCTGTACAGTAACTTCGAATATGTTCGAATTCTGCCAATCCACAGTGAGCCAGGGCTCTTATATGATATGTATAGAGAAGCCCTTCAACCATCAGTGGAATATATATAACGGACTTGTTTTGTCTGTGTTATATTTTTTCTTTCTTACATCGCGACAGGGCGGATTTAAAGTTATTTAGATCTCTTTAGACAAGTGAGGTCGAGATTGTTAGAGCAATAAAGTTACGTGCTTACCTGCCAGTTATAAAAAGAAACATTACTAATCTGTGCCACCGTTCGTTCCTAGTTTATTTTTAATCTGTATCGGCATCAAAGCCCAATTCAAGGGGGGGACTGCGCGCGGCATTGTTTACAAGATGGCGCCCCCCTGTCGTTAATTGACAGAAAGCAAAGTAAGCGGCTTCGTAGATGGACTAAATTGGGATCGAACGAGGTCGACGCAGGACGGACTGAAGAGGAAGAGGTTGACAGCTTTAATTGCCTCGCTTTTATTGGAGCAGTAGCCCTGCCGGCGGCTTTGTGCGCGTGGACTTCACACTTATAATCATACTAGGCGACCCGCCCCGGCTCCGGGTGCAATGTATTATAAATATAAACCTTCCTCTTGAATCACACTATCTAGTAAAAAACAAACCCCCATCCATATCCGTTGCGTAGTTTTAAAGATCTAAGCATAAATCATGTCATAGATCATAATAGGGACCGACAGACAACGGGACGACTTTGTTTCATACTATGTAGAGATAAATGAGATCTTGTATAGGAATATCCATATTGAAATATTTTTGAATTTTTTATGTTTTTTTTTATGTGATAAGATGGCACGTGAACAGGCGGTTCAACCGATGTTGCGTGATAACCGCCGCCATGGAAATTGGCAACACCCGTAGTTGCAGATGCGTTGCCACCTTTTAATGAAGTGCCAGACGAAGTGCAGAAGTATAGCACTTCCACTTCACGCCGGTCTTCTGTGAGGTGGTGGTACTTCCCCGGATGGACCTGCCCATTCGTGCATCAGCGAATACTGGTATGTAGTCCTGACACAGTACCTCTTTTGGGGCATTGGATATATTTATTTTTTATTTTATGTGAACAGTTACCAAACGAGCAGACGGTTCACCTGATGTTAAGTGAATACCGTAGACCCATAGACGTCTGCTACACCCGAGGGTTTGCAGATGCGTTGACAACCTTTTCGGAAATTGGGCTCCGGCTACCTCACTCAGCAGACGAAACGCGAAAGTATTTGTCATACTTCCACTTTACGCCGGTCTTCTGTGAGGTCTTGGTACTTCCCCGGACGAGCCTGCCCATTCGTGCAACAGCCGAGGCTGCTGCGTAGCTCTACCACCGGGCCACATATATAAATAAATATATATAACACAAATATAAATACACATTTATATCTGATGATGTCATGTAACTGCTGGCAATTTCCACAGAATGTACTATGTAATGATTTAGTTGGTCGTCAAGAAAAACACTATCGAGAAACGTTTCAAATCGAACCTTTGACGTTGTTTCTAGACTGCGCGTGAGGCTCCACACACAGACGTCAACAGCACTTGACCGTCTTTAAATGCGCTTGTTAGCGAAGACACTCGACTTGTCAAACGACGAACATCGCAACTGATTAGACATCAATTAATGTTCGCAATACTTCTTGTCACGAAACAATGAAAGTTTTTTACTTTTTCGTTTCTGTCAAATTCAAAATGTCTATTCCATGTAGGCTTGGTTTAAGCTCTTATTGAGATTGACATCTAAACTACCACCGCACCTGTTCAATTAACTATGTATTGTTATTTTTTTAATGATAAATCATACCGCCAGTAGTCAAATTTCATTTTTATTGACGACCCGATTGTGACCCTGCCCCTTGCGCCAGAGGGTGTGGGTTCGAACCCCACTACTAGAAAAATATCGTGTGATGAAAATAGTGTTTCTCCAGTGTCTGGTGTTTATATATGTATAATATGTATTTATTTGCAAAAACAATATGTTTAAGTATGTTTATCAGTTATCTAGTACCCATAGGACAAGCGTTGCTTAGTTTGGGACTAGAGAACGTTGAGTAATAATGTGGCCTAATAATATTTATTTATTTTTAATCATTTACAAACATACTGGTTAATCAAAGATTATTACTTTTAATTATTTTTTTATTGACCCTTAGGAGTACCTACTTAGTAGTCCTGCTTTTTGAAACGTTTGCTCGAAAGTGTATGTGTAATATCAACCTATCGGAAAAAAACCTATGTTTTTTCTTCTAACTATTCCATGAATTCACGAATGGACATTCTCATCCGGGGACGTACCGCCACATGCAAGGTCGACGAAGCGCCGAAAAGTGTTTGACCGTTGCATTTCGAAGTGAGTGAAGTATCATTGCGTCTATAGGTGGGGGCTATTACTTGACGTCGGGGGCACCGTCTGCTCGTTTACCACAGTCGTCTATCAAAAATGCCTTCGGCTGTTGCACGAGTGGGCGAACTCGTCCGAGGAAATATCACTGCCTCTACAAGTACGATATTTTCTTGTTTCGTCTGACGAGTAAGGTAACCGGGGCCCCATTAACTTAAAGCTCGTCAACGCATCCGCGAGCCTTCAGGTGTTGTAGTATTCCTTGGGCGGCGGTCATCACTTAAAATCAGAACCTGTATGTGAATCATGTTGCAGGCGGTTTTGGCTAGGTTTATTACGACCGGCCGCCTGCCTGACGTCAACCCTCCTTGGGAAACAAAACACCGGGATCGGGTACGGTATCTGTGGGTCACTCAAATAATTGTCCCGTTTGGGAATGGAACCCACTACCCTGACACTGAAACCAATAGATTAGCAACGGCAACTTTATGGTGTAACTAAATTATTGTATTTTTTTCATTATGTAATTATATCGTTATATCTTAAACGCTCCTTAGATTCCATTTAACGGGGCCAACTCTGATCTGCGAGTGCCTATAGTGGGTTTACGGTTAGCAATATTAATATTTAAACTGCGTAGAGAGAAAGTTCAAGAAGAAGAATTTAATTTTTATCTCTCGTTTCTACTTTTGTTATATTTTGAAAAAGTAAACTTTGTATTTATATTTAAAAAAAATATTACATTACGAACGGCATTGCTGTCGTTAGTTGCGTAGATACATTTTTGTACATTCTCTGAATGCGATCGGAGGACCTAGGGTTACAACGCAACAACACTTGACTATTTATCTTTATCATTAAATAATAATGCAAAACAAATGAACGTCATTAAACAAGAATGCAAAAGAAATGAACATCATTAAATCGTTATGCACTCACCCCTCGCCCCCCACTGAGGTCTCCTTCGCAGTGACGCCGTCGTAGTGGACCCGCGTCTCCGTCTCCCCGTCGACCAGCTCGTCGTACACCACGAAGTTTATCTTCTCCCTGTTTAGATTACGCCTCAGGTACTTCACGTCGCTCAGGGAATCCCAGCTACTATTTGGACGTGAGTGTCTCAGCCGCGGCCTCTCCTTAAAACCGCCGAATCTATCAGAGGTGACGTCACTGGAGTTCCGCCTCCCCTCCCGGAAGGCGCCCAGCCCGAAGGAGTGGCTGATGTGTCGCAATCGGGTACTGGGCATGACGTCACTAGAGTTATGCATGACGCGACCGGCCGCCCGAAATACGCCAGGTCTTTGTATGACGTCACCGTCCGTGACGTCATCGACGTCGCCGTGATCGCAGCTGGAGGTCCCGAGGAGAACAAGGAGCAGCAGGGGAGTGCGTAGGATCCTCCTCCAGCACATGGGTCGTGGCTTTTTCTTCGCCTTTGGCGATTTCAGCTCCATCTCCCGCCTGCAATAGGGAACTCATGTGAGTTTCTTAAATTAGAAGAAACTGACTTTTAACTGTGTTAGAGCCACGCAGCAGCTTCGGCTGTTGCACGAATGGGAAGGCTCGTCCGGGTAAGTACCACGACCTCACAGAAGACCGGCGTAAAGTGGAACTATGACAAATACTTTCGCGTTTTGTCTAGTGAGTCAGGTAGCCGGAGCCCAATTTTCAAAAGGTTGTCAACGCATCTGTAACCCTCGGGTGTAGCAGATGTCTATGGGCGGCGGTATTCACTTAACATCAGGTGAACCGCCTGCTCACTTGGCAAGTTTTCGCATTAAAAAAAATTCTAATGCTTGCTTTAAAAATGCTCAGCAACACAGAAGATGCATTATTATTACGAATCTCCACATACCGTGAATGCCAACGTCATATTGTTGACGAAAAATCATGAATGGTGGAAGAACCGAACCAATTTGAATCGTTGGCGATCAGAACAATTCACAAAACGATAAAATGTCAAGACTGGCGCAAAATCGAATAGTATAAATTTTGCGACAGAGTTAAAAAATATGCTCAAAAGCTTAGAAATAGATTTTTGTTCAGACATTTTAAAAACCGATAATTAAGCGCGGTGCTCATAGTAGGCGACGCATGTATAGTGACTATGAATTACACAATAATTAAAGGGAAAATAATTACATATGCTGTAAGTCCGTTGTGCGTATAAAATTTTGCTACAAGTTTTTCTGTGTCATTGTACGAAATCAAATTTCATTTTTATTGACGACCCGATTGGCAGTGACCCTGTCCCTTGCCCCAGAGGGTGTGGGTTCGATCCCCACTACTAGAAAATATCGTGTGATGAAAATAGTGTCTGGAGTTTCGGGTGTTTATATATGTATTATATGTGTTTATTTGCAAAAGAAAAATATGTTTAAGTATCTAGTACACATAGGACAAGTATTGCTTAGTTTGGGACTAGAGAACGTTGAGTAATAATGTGTCCTAATAATATTTATTTATTTTTAATGATGTACAAACATACTGGTTAATCAAAGGTGGTAATCAAAGATATTATTACTTTTAATTATTTTTTTATTGACCCTTAGGAGTACTTAGGAGTCCTGCTTTTTGAAACGTTTGCTCGAAAGTGTATGTGTAATACCAACCTATCAGAAAAAAACCTATTTTTTTTCTTTTAACTATTCCATGAATGCACGAATGGACATTCTCATCCGGGGACATACCGCCACCTGCAAGGTCGACGAAGCGACGAAAAGTGTTTGACCGTTGCATTTCGGAGTGAGTGAGGTATCATTGCGTCTATAGGTGGGGGCTATTACTTGACGTCGGGGGCACCGTCTGCTCGTTTACCACAGTCGTGTATCGAAAATACCTTCGGCTGTTGCACGAGTGGGCAAACTCGTCCGAGGAAGTATCACGGCCTCTACAAGTACGATACTTTCTTGTCTCGTCTGGTGAGTAAGGTAACCGGGGCCCGATTAACTTAAAGGTTGTCAACGCATCCGCGAGCCCTCAGGTGTTGTAGTATTTCTTGGGCGGCGGTCGTCACTTAACATCAAATAATTACATATGCTGTAAGTCCGTTGTGCGTATAAAATTTTGCTACAAGTTTTTCTGTGTCATTGTACGAGACTGTAAGTAGCGAGCCTAGGAGAGTATTTTTGTCTTGTCTCGCAGTATGTACAGTTTTTTATATCACAAAACTTTGTTATAGAGTGATGAGAAAAAGCAGAAAGAAAGAATTTAATGAAGTTTCAAATGGAAACAAGACATTGATTTTGTTTTGTAATCTACAAATGTTTTTCCGTGTTCAAATATTGTGTAAAAGTGTGGAAACCTCATTATGCTGATGTTCATATTGGGATTTCTTTTTATTTTATTCATTGTGTATCTATGCCTCAGAAATCTAAAAACTAAAGCAGAAGGAGTTGAAAACGCAGATTAAGTAATTAATTATTGTTTAATTATCTAATATCCATTCATTTCAGCCTGTTTGATTCTACTGCTGGATATAGGCCCACAGACTGCCACGAAGCACGATCCTGAGCTTCATAGACTTCCCTCACACTTGTACAGGTCACTCCATCTAGTGGGGGTCGTCTTATACTGCGGTGGCTAGTGCGAGGTTGCCACTTAAGAACCGTTCTTCCCCATCGGCTATCGGTTCTACGAGCTATATGGCCGGGCCATCGCCACTTCTCCTTACTAGTACTCTGAGCTATGTCGGTTATCTTTGTTCTACTGCGGATATCTTCCTTGCGAACTCTATCACGCAGAGAAATACCAAGCATAACCCGCGCCATAGCCCGCTGAGCGACTTTGAGCTTCCTCATACGGCCAGCAGCGAAGGACCATTTCTCGGTTCCATAGGTTATCACTGGCGACACGCATTGATTCAAAAAGTTTCCCGAACGCTGTTCATCCGAGTTAGATTCGCCGATTGACCTCTGCGTCGAAGTTGGACTCACCTAACCGAATTAGCTCTGTGGTCGAAGTTTTTAACGGACAAATACAGGAGGATACAATACCTTTTTTTTAAAACGTGGATAATAATAAAACCCTATCACGACCCGATGCCCGTTTATCTCCGACGCCAGCAAACAAAGACACTTTGTTTACATTAAAACCGTGTTATCTATGGCGATAAAAATACACACATCTCGCCGTACAAAAGAAAGGGTGTCATTATGCAAGTGGTCTAATTTCTGGGAAGATACAAGGTCGCTAGTTCGAAACCCTCACCTCTCCCAGATCCTCTCAATCTGGAGATCAAAGCAGCAGGGGTAGGTAAATTAAACAAGGGTTTGTTGAAAAACTCAGGTTTGGTTAGCAAACTGATGGAAGGACGTTAAGGGCGGGCTTCGTGGACGAGTCGGACTTTCTGATGGAAGGACTTATCAGTTTTCATATGCGGATTGGCGGATTTCACTACCGATTTTAGGTGGCGACTTCTCACGGTATGTACTAATTGAAACTAAATGATAAAGTGAATATTGTCTCGAAAACAGATTCGTGTCGCATAACATTTGTGTTAAAATGGACGAACAGTTTTTCGCCGAATCAGGAATCGAATGCATGTCGTCCGAAATTGCGCCGAGACGCTTTAACTACTGAGCTAAAAGGCTGATTGCCGTAACGAAATTTCAATGTATTTTATCTACATCGTCTTTTCGCATTTTAAGGAATACGCATCTATTGTTATGTCCTTTACAACAGCACACAAAAAATTTCAAATCACAACCATTATTCGAACGCGAGATGTCACCTTTGCTTTTTGAAATTTAAATTTTATATTAAGGTTTCATAGTGAATAAGGCAAGGGTAGACATTAGCACTATAAAAACTTAATACAAAATTTACATTTGAATCGTGTTTTCTGGTCGGTAACCTTCTGGCTATTTTCTTCACGGCGTGTCGTTCGCCTGACTTCAACCCTCCTTGAGAACGAACTGATCCGGAACAATAATGTGTGAGTCACACAAATGCTCGTCCGGGATTCGTACCCACCTTCCCCAGGTCCGAAGTTAATAACAAATGCGTGTTGAGTAATCCGAAATCATGTAAATGACTAAATTGTTGCAAAAAACTAAAGTGATAGAAATGGGATTAGTATATAAGTGAAAAATACGTGAAAAATCTACTTTTGAATAATTTTAAAGTGCCTACCAGTACTTCTTGTAACTTGTGTATCAATGTAACATACAATTATTGATATTATTACAACACGAATTTATTTGAGTAGTTAGTTTAACAGTAAACTTTTATGTAACAGATGAACATGATAACACGTATATTTGAAGGCCTTTAGATAAGTCTAAAGGCCTTAAAGGTATAAGTCCCTTTATTAAGAATCAATTACAATGCAGAGAGGATGGTATACGTTAAATGATCAACACCACACATGACAGGCCACAGCCCCCAGGAAATAACAGTTCTGATGTCTGAAGCCCTGGTAGTTTCCCGGTCTACAGCGAACATATACCAGAAGCAAAAGTAAGTTTCTATACCCTGATCAGGTATTTCCAAGATCATTGTCTCATGACTAAGTTAGTTTTATGTTACTGTTGAGTTACTTTTTTATGAGAAGGTGGCAAACGAGCTGGCGGTTCACTAGATGTTAAGTGATAACCGCCGCCCATCCACATTTGCAACACCCGTAGGATTTCAGATGCTTTGCCAGACACACACCAGACGAAACGCAGAAGTGCAGCTTCCGCCTCTATGAGGTCGAGGTACTCCCCCTGAAGCATTCAACTTGCAACTCCACTGATGCACAAATGGGCAGGTCGCCCATTCGTGCATCAGTGAAGGCTGTTGCGGGGCCCTACTACAACTAAAAAATTATAATACTTCGGTGAGGGCCGCAGCGGTGTCAGAGGCAGCTGAAATAAATAAGTGGTGCGAATACGAGTCTCTGTCTTCGCATTGTGTATTTGTGCCATTTGCTGTTGAAACCTGTAAGTCCATGGGGAAAAATTTTTGAAAGATTTACATCCTAGACTGGTCACAAGAGGTTCTTTCCTCGCCCAAAGGGTAAAAAAGCATAACTATTCATGGCACCATGCCACGTGGAGTAGGTTCCGTACCCAAAGCGTAAAACGTCCCTATAACGACCTTATATTAAGACTCCGCTGTCTGCCTGTCAGTACGTCTGTCACCACGCTGTATCGCCGCTATAACAACTACTAAAAACAGAATAAAAGAATATTTAAGTGGGGCTCCCATACAACGGACATGATTTTTGCCGTCTTTATAGATAATCTGTTTTTTTTTTTTTTGTAATTTCGAGAATATTCTGGTTTCCGCACCATGTTTTCCTTCACCGCTGAACACGTGACACTTCAACACTTACACTTCATAACTTATTTGGTGATTTAAAAGGGAAAAACTCAGGTTGCTCGAATTAATAGCGAGTGCCCGCACATTGAGCTATCACGGCTTACTTGAGCATATTTGTATGTAATTTGTAGCGTAGAATACGTGCATC